GTGACATGGGGCGCTCCGGGTCTTGGGGCGCTCGGTGACATGGGGCGCTGTGTGGGGCACTCAGTGACAGCGAGTACTCGGTGACGTGGGGTGCTCGGTGACACGAGGTGCTCCAGGACTTGGGGTGCCGGGTGCCATGGGGTGCTCAGTGTGGGGCACTCAGTGACACCGGGTGCTCGTTGAGGTGGGGTGCTCGGTGACAGCGGGTGCTCGGAGCCATGGGGCGCCCGGTGCCGCGCGGTCGCTCGGCACAGCGGGCCACCCCACCTCCCGGCGCCCCCCGGCCCCCGCAGGACCCCACCAACGGCTACTACAACGTGCGGGCGCACGAGGAGCGCCCGGCGTCGCGCAGCGTCCTCTACGGCGACTACCGCGGCGGCGGCGGCGGCGGCGGGCGCTACGAGGCGCGGCCGCCCTCGCGCCTCTCGCACGCCAGCGGCTACGCGCAGCTCAGCACGTACGGCCGCGGCGGCGCCGAGTACGGCGCCGAGGCGGCGCCGGAGCCGCTGCCCTACGAGGGCGGCTACGGCGGCGGCCACCTGGGCTACGGCAGCTACCGGCTGGGCTACGGCGCGGCGCTGGAGCGGCCGCCCTACGAGGCGTACGAGGCCATGGGCAAGGTCGGCGGCGCCGGGCGCTTCTCCTACGCGTCGCAGCACTCGGACTACGGGCAGCGCTTCCAGCAGCAGCAGCGCATGCAGACGCACGTGTGAGGCTCCTGATATTCAGGGGCCGGCGGGGCGCCGCGGCGGCGTTCCGGAGGGCCGGAGGCGGCGCTTCCCGCCGGGAACAACGCCAGGGAGGCGGCTGCGCGCCGGAGCGCGGCGGYGCCGGGCCGGGTCCCTGCGGGCACGGAGGACACCTTACACCTATATAAACACACCTATAGACACATATACACACACACACACACACGTGTGTGTGTATATATGTACACACACACATATATACACACACACAACATATATATACACACGTATGTATATATACATATATATACACATATACACACATGTGTGTGTATACACACGTGTATATATATACACACATACGTGTATATATACACATATATACACATACGTGTCTATATATACACACACATGTATATATAGAGACATATATATACACACAGGTACATATATATATACACACATATGTATATATATACATATATACACACATATGTGTGTGTATATACACATATATACACACGTATATATACACACACGTGTATATATATACACATATACACATGTGTAATACATATACACACATATGTGTGTATATATACACATATATATACACACGTGTCTATACGCGTGTATATATATGTCTATACACATATATATACACACGTGTATATATACACACACGTGTCTATACGCGTCTGTACATATATACAAATATATACATACATGTATATATGTATATACGTATATATATACACGTGTATATATACACACATGTATATATGTGTATAAACACACGTATGCATATATATACATACCTACACATATATATGCATGTGTGGGTGTATATATCTCTCTATATGTATATATGTGTAAGGTGGTGTTTCCGTTTGCTCCGCCGTGCCAGCCCCGTCCCATTCCCTGTGCCTTGACGTTGGCGGGTGCCGCCGGCACCCGCTCCGGGCCAGGGCCGGGCGGCTCCTTCCGTGAATGTATAGGAAGCTATAGGGGCGGAGGTGGGAGAGCGCCGCTTCCCGGGCCGCTCCCGCCCGGGGCTGCCGCCTCTTCCCGGGATGCGGCCCCCTTCTCCGCGCGCTCCCAAGGTACGAGGCCGCCCGGAGCCGCCGTGTGAATCCCGGAGCCCGAGGTACGAGGCGGGAGCGCAGGGCGCCGGATGGATCCCGATCCCCATCCCGATCCCCATCCCGATCCCGATCCCGGCTCCGCACGGTACCGTCCCAGCGCATCCCGGGAGCTGCTGCCACGGGACCCCCCCCCCCATCCATAGCAATAGCTGCTCCGCAGCCGGAACGCCGGCCCAAGCTTTAAATGAATCCCCGGGAATTTGGGGGGCGGRGGTGTCCCGCGGCCCCCCCCACCCCTCCAATCCCGGGAAGGGACCCCCGGGATCGCGGCCGCATCCCGGAGCGGGAAGCGGGTCCCTTTTCTTAGCACAGGCTGTTTTAGATCCCTAGAGAGACGTATCTGTGACCCCCCCCTTCCATTTTTTATTTTTCATTTTCCCTCTTTTTTTTTTTTAATATTATGTACTATATTTTTAGTCTTAAACACAATATATTATATATATTTAATTTTTTTATATATATATATAAATATAAATGTTAAAAAAAAA